CGATTTTCATCCGTCCTCATCTGGTGAGATCGACAAACGAATTTCTTCATCATGTACTTTCATTCGAAATAAAGGTCCCCCTAACAAGCTTACTTTCGTTTCGAGTGAAAGTGTTGGGCGAAGAGATTCGAAGGTCAGTTCCAGCAGAAGACGACGGCGGATTCCTCTTGACCAGCCGTCGATTAGCTTTACTGGCAGATTCATGCTGATGCTATTTCCGAGGTAATCTCCTTCAACTCCAGTGAAAAGGTGCTAGGCTTTCGTCCGTCATATGACGTACAACATCAGAGCAAAGTATCATCGTCACAACACAATTCAAGCTAACGAGTCAAAAAAACTTTTCTTCGCATATAATTTTAGACGCTTTGAAACGCATCTCGGCAGTCCGTTGGGCATTTGGGGATGCTAGTCCTTCGTATTACTATTCGACTCATAATTGCCCCACCTTTATTGTGCTAATGAGTCACAATAGAGGTGGCAAGAGGAACAAGGTAGGAGGGAGCGTGAGTTAATAATATTTCTTTTTTATTTTGCTCTTTTTATTACTTTCAGCCAAGAGGCCTGTTCTCAGCATAATCTGATGTGCCCGTTGTGCAGTGTGCGGCTTGGCTGTGATTACTGGCAGCTCAGCGACATCTGCTTCTACATCAAGGTTTCCTACCTATTCGATCATCCGGGCACCGTTTTCTTCGCCATATTCATGGTTATATGGGGTAGAGTTATTGAACTTGACATCTGGACAATCGAAATATCACAGGAGACATGCAGTTACATTAAAAAATAATAACTTCTCGTATAGAATTGGGGTTAAACGATATTCATCTGGCTCTTGTGTTGATAAATAAGAAGTATAATAATAATAACAACATACTTATACATAATCATTAAATTAATATAATATACTATAGTAAGAATAATAATGGATGAATAAGAATTCACCATAAACCCACTAATACTTGCAAGCCTTTATTTCCATGATTAGCTCTTCTTTCTTCAGGGCCTTTTCTAATATCCAAATATAGTGGACCCTTTCGCTAGGGGATAGCCTCTCTTGAAACAGCCAATAACCAGAGGGTTTAGTCACTTATGCGGTTAAAACGCAAACAAAAACCTCCCAATCAGTCCCTCAAGCGGAAATAGGATTGCAAGCACGTACTCCCAAAATAAGAAGCACAATTAATGCACGTGTAACTTGACTATGCTCATTGGCAAACATTAAATATCTGAGTAAGCCTATACTGCCATAACTCCATTTGGCTACATTTGCGAGCCGAGATGTTTAAGCTCCTTCGATCTGAAAAAGAGTCCGGGCAATATTTTTATAGAATGGATCCTAATTCATTGTAGCCATTATACGAAATCAGTGAATCTTAAAACCCGTCTATAATATTCTAACGCTATTCGAATTTGGGGCCAAAATGACTGAGTTTATGGCCAGGGGTTTGTATTAATAGTGACAGAAAAGCCTTACTTTCATAAGCTACACTTTGTTTCGCAAAAAGTCATCCTAAAACCATAGCTAGTGCATAAAGAGAACTGAAGATTTAACGAATTTGATAACTAAGTTAGGCGAAACCAAGCATATGTGTCTTCTGCACACAGATCCAGGATATTCCCAGCTTCACCACCAATATCCCTATCCTAAAATGTTGAGAAGATAGCCTAAATTAGCTAGTCATTTTAAAGACCTTCTCTCCTGATATCTTTCTACATTACTATACTTTTGGTACGTATTCCATTACTTGACTGTAGGGGCCTTGAATTTCTGTTTTCAAATGTGAGTATTAGCACCACAATCCTATGCAAATTGATAAGGGATTTGGTAATATGTGATGAAAGATTAGTTGCTCATGAGGGTTGTATTTGAAATAAGTTTATTTTTGAGTGTGTAAGGGAGAAATACCCCCTTTCCCCAAAGGGAAAATGTCTATTATTAGTCTCACTATGTCGCCAATTTATAGAATATCTCTTTCATACAAAGTAAAGTCTCCCTGTGACAACATAAAAAGCCATACCATCTCGATCTTCATACCTTTAGCTAAAGTCTGAACTATTTCCTAGTGACTGCAGATTGGCTGTACGTCTAGGTCACTTATTCTGGAGAGCTACACTTCAAGAAGCCGAGCTCGAGAAAAATAAGTTTTCCTGCATATACAGTTGTATAGCTTGTGAAGAGGATGGAGCACTATCTCACATATTTAACGGTGAGGCACAACTCAAGAAGGAGATTTTTGAAGGTCTCCGCATACACGCTACAGGAAATGCCATTTTATCAGCTCTTATGGGTCTAAATATAAAGGAAATTCAAGGATGGCAGAATGACATTAGTTTAAATAGTTGGCAGAACTTTTATTAATGTAGAAGATATAAGAATAACAAACCTGACTCCACTATATTTTGATATGGTTGCAGACTAAACAGAGTAAAGTAACCAAGGCCCTGATCACAGAACAACTAGTCGAGTACCTGGCATCAACTATCAACATAGAAAAAAATTTAAGATGAATGAGGTCGTGATGAAGCCGAGAAACCCCTCACTTCATATACAATGAACGTTTCAATATGAAACTTGCGAGGACAATATTATTGCTGCAAGTAGGCACTATATAAAGCGTTGTAATTAGCAAGAATACTTCAAATGAGTTAGTTAAATAATTTATCATAGCGTGTTTCTCATGAGATGGAATCGAAAAAGAAAAAGAGTAGCCTATTATATCTTTACATAGTATATTCTATAAATTTGATTTTTACGCGTAAAAGTAATTGCTTATAATGTTGGAGTTTCTGTTAGCTGAGGAAAGAATAGTTCTGTCTGCCTCAATGAAATGAGCAGATATGACTACGATGCTGGTCAAGTTTACCTCGAGGTCTATCTTTTTGACGTAGTTTTTCAATTATTTATACCAGGCGTGACGTTTCTTGAGTGTTGGAAGCGGAAGAGCGCGGAACTAGCTCATCATTGGGATGTGCTTGATTATGAAAATGAGGAGGAACGACCCCGGCCACAATATGCTGCTTTATGCTCCACATATGCCAAAAATCCTGTAACGGGGTTAATGGAGCCATACTTTCCTCAGAAGTACAGGATACCTCGCCTGATAACTGGAATCGGATGCATCCTCATAATGGCAAGTGATTCTCTTCAGACGTTAGTAACACTTAATATTACTTTTTTGAATTCACATTCAATCCTTCTTCATCCTAGGAAACGTATTTAAATCTGCTATGGAATAGCCAATAGTCAAAATTTATTTGAGTTTTGTCCCCACGAGTCCCCCGATTGGATTTAAAGGGGCCAGTGGACTTAAGTGGAGTAAAAATAGAAGCGAGCTATAAGCTTTTCAATATATTCATTGAGGCACAATTACAATTCGAGCAAAGTTAGGAGCTCTCATGGATTCTATCGAGATGGAAAAGTGAAAGTGAAAGCGTTCAGAAGTTTCAAAAAGAAATTTGTGGCCTATTCTATTTTCAATCCGTCTTCCTCTGCCACTACAGAGGCAGATCTACACTTAAGAACCCAAGGAATTACTTTCGGCAGAGTCAAGATAGGGAACTTGCCAACCTGTTTCTAAAGCTGAACACCTTTGTTAGGCGCTATCTTCGAAAGCATTCTATACAGGTTCAGGAACCTATACGACTCATGGCAGCATTTTATCCAAGAGATTTCAATTAAAATCTAAGACTTATCTTAAGCTGTATAGATAAGTACAGTCAACAATGATAAAAATTTTACACACGAGATGACAAGACCATTAGATGCTTTCATATCTAAGCATGACTTTGACTGTCGGGTCAGGTTCCGCAAATGTAGGACAATATTTCCTGTCAGTCTTCTTTACAACATCAAAAGAAGGGTTTAGGAGGCACCATCAAAACAACAATGAATATATTTTGCTAGGATTTTTGGTCAACCTTTGTTGGGAGAAGCATCTTAGGAATTAGTTTCTTGGTTGTATCAGCCAGATAGACTCCAAATTACTTGCTCAGATGACCACTCTAAAGAACACTAAATCAGTGATGGCTTGACATGATACAAGCATATCTTCTCAGAAGCTTCGTCTTGCCAATGATCGTTGATCACTAAGACATAGTGCAAGATACAACCTAAATGTGAACCAAAAAGCAAGAGAGAATCAAGAATCCTTGCTGCATAACTTTTCACGATGCAGGGAACAAGGCTCAGCTTCACTTCTTACCTCTAAACCAGGTAAGATCAAACACATCAACAGCACCAAACACAC